CGGGCCAAAACTTGCAGTCATCGAACCTCAACCTCCACAAGAGGAGGAAAAAACCTCTTTAAAAGCAAAAGTCCTCAAAGTCAAATGTGGGCCCGCCAACAGCAACAAAATCACAGAAAAACCCACTCCCAGCACCTCACAAATCTCCGACAAACCCGTAACCTCAGACACCGAAACAGTCAACAAATCTTCAATCAAAGTCAACAAAATCATATTCTCCAACAAAACAAAAAGTGAAGATATCCAACCGGAATCCCATAAACCCGCCACCTCCCTCGTAATCCGGCCACCGGAAAGTCACCGGAATCCTCCACCACCACCGCAACCCCGGAAAACAATCGTCATCAAACGCCCGAAAGAAGTCTTTGACTTTGACCAGGTCAGTCAAAGTCATAGTCAAAGTCAAGAAGTCAGCCCGGTAACCGAGCCTCGAAAAACCAAAAGAATCACCGAATTATCCGGTTTCCAAAAACATTCTCGATCAAATAAATCAAAAGATCATCATCCTCATCATCACAATCATAATTCCCAAATTTGGGAAGAAGACCAACACGCGATAAGAATCGCAGAGAGACAAAGGCAGTTATACGAAGAACAACAACAACAAGCACAACAAGCGAGAAAGCTAGAAGAGCAAGAGAGAGTGGCGGAGATTAGGCGGTTCGAGGAGGACATAAAACGCGAAAGGGAGGAGGAGAGGCAGCAACGCGAGAAAAAAAAGAAAAAAAAGAACATATTTTTCGAACCAAGGAACAGCGAGTATCTCGAGGAGACTCCTCGACCCAGGCGAGACGACCGCCGGGTCCCGGAGCGCGACCACCACCGCACTGCTAAACGGAAACCCGTCGTCGAATTAGGCGGGCGGTTCGGGGCAGAGTATGCCCCGACCGTGAAACGGCGTAGGGGCGGAGAGGTAATTTCACCTAACCAGTTATACTTTGATTTCAAAAATCGTGAATTGTTTTTGTATTTTAGATTTATTTATTTATTGTGATATGACATAGGTGGGTTTGGCGAATATATTGGAGAAGATAATTGACACGTTAAAAGCAAACAATGTGTCGTTTCTTTTCTTGAAACCCGTGACTAAAAAGGAAGCACCGGATTACCTTCGGATAATAGATCGGCCAATGGACTTGTCAACAATGCGGGAGAAAGTGAGAAGATTGGAGTATAAAAGCCGGGATGCCTTCAGACATGACATGTGGCAGATCACGTTCAATGCTCATAAATATAACATTGGAAGAAATCCGGGTATTCCTCCGCTTGCTGATCAGCTCTTGGAGCTTTGTGATTTTTTGTTATCGGAATATGATGCGGTTTTGAGTGAAGCGGAAGCGGATATAGACGAATGAATCATTTTTATGTTTTCATTATTTATGTTTAGGGTTTTATTTTATGTATGTAGAAAATTTGTATATTTTTACCCTGTTATGTAGTTTAGTTTTCAAGGGTAAAACAGGAATTTTTTAACTTCCTTTTTTTTGGTGGTGGGTTGGTTTATTTAGTGGTGAATTTTGTATATATGGTAGGATATATATGATATATAGTTTTACATGTTTTGTACTACTTTATGTATTTGCAAAATTATTTGGGAGGAGGCAGTTTAGGATTTTAATTTATTAGTTATTACAATAAACATACACTAATCACCATTTTTAAAAAAAGTTTATTTTCATTGTTGCTTATAAATATATCATTTTTCTCTACTCTTTTAATTGCTATTTCATTTGTAACCCCATGAATTTATGTATAAATAGCAGTAAAGTAAATTCTTTGTTTTTTTGCACACCAGATCATATTTATCCGGTTTGGATTGAACCCCAAATCCAAAATTGGTGATTAATTTGTCGATAGATGTTAAGATTCATGGATAATTTGATGTTATAACTCCCACTCTTCATTGAATCAGTTCCAATTTGGTTTTGATGAGGCTTGGTTGAGATGCTAACCTTTAAGCTCCATTAATGGTGGAATTTTCAATCTAGTAGTTCTAGTGAGTTGTGTGGTGTTGGATTAGCCTCTAAAACACTACGAGATTGTTAAATCATCCTCAAATGATTTCAATCCATCAATTAATGGTGAAAACGGGTGATTCAAACTTTAGGTTCATGTATGAGTTGTACTTTGGTTATGATAAGTTGCACTGTAGCCTCTAGTAATAGATTTGGAGTGAAATATGGAATTAGTATATGTTGAATGATTAAACTTATGAAATCTATGGTTTAAATCAAACATACTGTGATCTTTAGTGTTGCTTGTACATTAGTAACATTGGAATGAACCGATTGAAGCAACCTCTAATGGATCTAGATTTGGAAGGGATTTCATGGATGGAATTCTCTATTCTATTCCATTCAATGATTTAATTTAAACATATACTCCCTCCGTCGCATATTAATAATACATGTTTCATTTTTGGTTTGTCCCAAAATAATAGCCTACTTTTAAAAATAAATCACCTTTACTAAAATATCCCTCATTATTAGTTCACCTACCATGAAATTAAATGCAACAAAAGGGTAAAACTGTCAATTCATTTAATTAAGCTAGTGATAATTAATGTTTTCTTAATCTGTGTGTTTTTTTTTGTCTGTGGACAATAAGTTTGGGACGGAGGGAGTATAATTGTTGTTGAGAGAATTATGTATGGAATAAGAGCTTAGATTGATCATTAGAAACTAATAAGACCTTTGTGAATTGATCATTAGAAACTAATAAGACCTTTGTTGGTATAATGATATTCACTTAAGCATCCTTAAAGCTTATATGACCTCTAAAGGTCTCAATGATTAAGTCATCATAAGGAAATGACTTAATTGAGTCCATATGATGTTAATAACCCTTGTTTAGTCCATATGAGTCATTTGGTAGCCATCAGAGGCCATTTGTGCAAAGTACATTGCCTAAATGAGACAAACTACACAATCTGAAGACCTACAAATTCCACATGCCTTGTGTGGAATCTCAAGGAAATTTCACACGCCATGTGTGAAATCTTCTATGAAGATTTTGCAATGTTTTGAAAAATGATGCATTAAACCTCCGACTGCTTCTAATTTTAAATACAAGCTTATAGGATAGAAATAAGCTATGGGAAGATATTAAATCTATGAAGAATCCTCTAGGGGTATTTTTGGTCATTTTATAATAATTTGTTGTTAATGACAATAGGTGGTGATTAAGAGTTGTAAATAATTTGGATTTCAATAAAGATGAGTGGCATTGAATACATTCCATAACAACAAGATTTTGATGTTTTTATAATAGAGATTGAGTTAAAGAGTTTTCACAATTACTTGCTATGTGTTAACTACATGCTGATTTACTTGTGCATTTCATGCAAATGATTTTTGTGAAGGAGTTTGATAAAAAAAAAGTTAACTTGTTTTGGAAAGAGTTTTGACATGAATACTTATGCATTCATGCATGAGTGGGAAATGACTTGTGTGTCCCTCCAAAGTGAGGGGAAAACGAGATTAAGAAATTCCCCAAGAGGGTAGTGTGATATTGTAGACACGCCCCATTTGTGAGTTGTATGACACCGGTAATTTGATAGCTCACACATACCCATTACAAGACTAAGAGAAATGAGAGAAGTCGTGACATAGGGTTGCTATGTGCTAAGTGCGTCATAGTCTTCAATGATATCAAAACGAGAAACTAAAAATAAGACTATGTGATGAACAAGAATGGGTGTAGTTGCATATTGCATTGCACTCTCTTTATTTTTTATATATTTAAATGTTTGCAACTTTCAAATGAATTGAAGAACTATGAGTTAATTATGAGTTTGAAAGATTTTGGAAGCTATTATTGAAAGAGTTTTTAAAAATGATTTATGAGTCAAAATCAATGTTGTAAAAAACACTCGACATTACATAGTCGGTTGACTTAGGTTAATAGATTAATCGGTTAGACGAAGATTAATCGAAGACCATAAATTGTTAATTCATTGAGTAGTGGAAGAAAACAATGAAAAAGCTCTAGTTTGGTGCTTGTGGCTGATTTATTATTTAGGCAGAGAAGAAAAAAAAATATGGAACATAATGAAGACGCCTCTGACGACTATTACAAAAGGTCGCCGGAGGTGGAAGGCGTTGGTTGTGGGTTGTGGTCCGCAATGATGTTTTAACCTAGAACTCCGATACCACGTTAGATAATGGATTGATTGATTCTCAAAAAACAATTACATAATAATATATAGAGAATACCTAAATTCTAATGACTAAACCCTAAATGGCTTGGACCTAAACCCTTTACTTAACTTTTGAAATATTGGGACCAAATCTAATTCATTGCCAAGCATTGTATTCATTGGTTCCTTCTGTCGGTTTCGGTTTTGTGATGGTTCCATCAATGAAGCCGACCTTATTTTTAGCCCGGAGAAAGTCTTTTATCTTCGTGCACCGGTCGGCATAATTGTTGTTACCAAGGTTTTCATTGACATGTATTTGTTGTGGATAGTCGGGGTGGATGTAGAAAGCTGAATTCGGATCAAATGAAGGGTTAGTATATGCGCCGGAGCCACTGACCGTAGTATCACCCCATATAAAATTTGAAGAATAAAAATTAACTTCAATTATGTTTCTATCACTCGAGGGTTATATAGGAATCCGATTAGAATTGGAAGCAAAAACGAATTCTATACATGTTAAAAGAATAACACCTAAGGATAAGAAAGGATAAGGATAAACATAACTTAAATACTAATTATCTAATCAACGTGATATTTCCTTTAAATAACATATATTCTGATCTTGGTAAATGACTATTTGCATCTCCAAAATCTAAAATATATTATTAAAATACTAGCTAGTCTTTGTATATTAGTTTTTGACAAGTCATATATCTCGATTAAAGAACAGATCTGGATGTACTACCTTTTAGTGTCTTCCTCACAAAATCTTTTAATAGATCAATAGATTCTTAATTAGATTATCAGTTCATTCATAGATACATGCATACATACAAACAAAGCTATAGAACCTCGGTAAAAACCACTCTTCTGTCTATTTAATGTCAGGTAATTTTCAAATCCTTTCTAAATGGTTTTGAGGTTCCATTTTGATTCTAATGTTGTGCCTTCGCGTTGTAGTAAGCATCTAAAGAAATGAGCTCATCAAGTGGGATCTTAGGTTCAATTCAGCTGAATTCCATCAGCCAGCATCATCAAATTCACATTCCTAGTGCTTCACACAGTAACTCACCACAACCACGACCATTAAACCTACCTCGTCAAGATCTACTCGATGGTAAGTCCTTCTCGGCATTATGTTATCATGAGATTCATATGAAGCATTACACATCATTACATCATCATTTCAACTACATTAGCAGAGATCAAGTTTAACTTAATTGGTCTCATGGTTTTTCTTGAAACAAATAACCTCAAAAAAAAGGCTACCACATTTTCCTTACCTTCCTTATATCATCAATAAAACCAATATCATGAATTTATATATGCAAAATACTGTCCATTGACCGATTTGTTTTCATTGCATTATAATATATTTCTTATGGAGAGACTAGCTAGAGTTTAGATAGTTTCATATTAATCATTTCGAAAAGAAAACTACTTAATGTTATAAAAATTGAGTATAGCTTCATTCTGGGATTATACAGATGGAAGAAGAGAAGAATTCCTTGAAATCTGTTTTCCCCTCTACAAAGCATCAATGGCGGGTGATTGGGAAAATGCTAAAGACATTTTAGACAAACGTCAAGAGCTGGTAAGGTTTAGCATCAATAGAAACAATGAAACAGCACTTCACGTTGCAGCGTATAAAGGAAACACCTTTTTTGTGGAAAATCTGGTGAGGTTGATGGAAAACGAGGACTTGGAGCTTCAGAATAGCAGTTCCAACACTGCTCTATGTTTAGCAGCTGTAGCTGGACATGTTAAAGTGGCTGAGATTCTGGTTAACAAGCACAAGGCCTTGATCGATATCACTGGTTGTCAAGAAAAGATGCCACTTTACATGGCAGCTTTATCGGGAAAGAAAGCTATGGTGAAGTATTTGTATAAAAATTCTGAAAGAATGACTAGCGGTTTTTGGACAGATGAGAGTCGGGGACGTGTTCTCTTGGCATGTGTTGAGGCTGAGCTATTTGGTAAGTATTTTTGTGTTGCCATGCAATAATTCATGTGTTGCTTTTATTTGCTATTGAGCATTTCAATCATTATCAAAAGTTTCTACTTTCTACATATGTTTTATTTGGATCTTTACTAGATAAATAAGTTGACACATTTCTTTTGATTACCTTTTTTATATATAGCTTCCAGATTATGGTATTAGAGTGAATTCAACGTATTTGTACTATGTATTCTATTGGTCAATATTGACTTTTGTTGTTCTTTTTGCCAAGGTTCTCAATATGCAAAAAATTCCATTATTATTCACTTTTCTTCCACTAGTCATCATGTTACCGTATTAACCAAATATCAACTACTAGTAGATGTCGCGCTACAAATAGTGAAAGATCGTCCAGAACTTGCCGTGAGCGAAAGAAGTCTACTTGGAGTTCTAGCACGGAACTCTGGTGCATTTAGGAAACAATATAATTTGATCCAAAGAATTGGTAAGAATCTCTACTCCTTGATTGGATTTTCTTGGTAATCATCTCATTCATGGAATGAATATCTATTTTTGTGTGTGTTTTAGGAAGAAAATAATTGGTATTTATACAATACACATAAACGCATTTACAATGCATTGAAATCTATAAAGTTTAATAGATTGTCACATCATTATTTTATATTCTATACAATACTATCATTTTTTTTCTTATAATACATTGAACTCTATAAAGTTCAGTGGAACATTACAAGCTAATTTATAATATTTATTTAAGAATTATAAAACTTTCATTTTTCTCATTGAAAAATTCAATGATCATTGAACTCCAAATCCGTTGACTGCTAAGATGACATCTCATAAATGTAAAGTTCCATCCATTGAATGACAACTAAACTTGTCATCTTATTCAGCTCTTTCATTGAACTCACAATTACAGATGCTCTTAGGGCTTTTATTTACGACCTCATCCCCCCTTACATGTTTGCCATAAACTTAGAAACCGATCAAATATCCACATATTTATCATAGAGCGATATTGCCAAGGTTTATCAATTTAGCGACTGGTAGCTGATTTATATGATTAGAGAATTTTGATATCCCCTATTTTTCAAAACAAAAAAACTTTTCTTTATTCTTTCAATACCATGCCGTCTTTGTTGCGGAAAATCCCAGTTTAATAAAATATTTATTAGTAATAAATGTTGTATCAAAATAACAAAAAACTACATATGTCATAAATTAATACATAACATATGTTACAACGTAAAGACATAGTAGTCCTGAATATTATTACATGTTGTCTTGTTATTCACTCAACATTCCTATTCAAGTTCCACCAACTTTAGTAAGTGTGTCATGTTTGAGAACTGATGAGATACATAAGGTTTTCAATCCCATAATATTATAATGATAATAAATCATATTATTAATCCCGTAAAAGAAAGATTACCAAAAAATGTAGATATATAATACAACATACATATCTATAAGACAATATACCTATAGTTACCCAATCTAATTGATTCTCGCAAACCTTATCAACGATCATCAGGAAGAATCACATTACCTGATGAATCATTGTCAGTAATGGTGTGTCTACACAACTAGGGGATTCCTTGTCCGGTGTTAAGTCACAAGGCAACCAAGATTTGTTTAGAGTATTTGATGAATATGGTATCCCATGATTCTTCTACGTCTATGAGTTATAAATCCATGCTAACAACGTAATTCACAAGATCATATAGAATAATCAAGTGTTGTAATCTTATTCTGGTATATGACTCAGACATACCCATTCATTGTCTGATTTAAGCACACCTATTCATTGTTTGAAGGAGGTGGAATACTACACTCCATTTCCTATCTCACATGTTACCCTAGAAACTACTCATTATTCAACTTAATTTGAACCAAGCATATAGATAAATAAGTCTTAGTTTATAACTAGATAATATTACAATACATTTAGTTAACTTCAAATACAAATTTTCTATTCATGTAATACTATCACAATACATGATGTACATTAAGCACATAATAAAAATAGCAAGCATTCTATATACATTTAATATTTTAAGTAACAAATACTTTTATTGAGATTGTGTATCAAGAAAGTAACTATGCACTCACCTTATTAAAGGTGAAAGATTTTCAGGTAAGATAACTCTTCGTCTAACACTTTTTCTCTCCCTTTTAAATGAGCTAGATACAAATATTACTATGTTTTAGTTTTCATTTATATTTATATTACTCAAGATTATATTAACTATTTTCCAGACTCTTCATTAATCCCAAAAAATACCAAGTTCTATCAAATAAGGAATGACCACGTAAGATGATATTGGATGTAGGATCCATTTGGTAAATAAATATTTTTTTTTTGAAAAGTCCATTTTAAACACCTCATTAAGATCTTGCCTCGAACCACGCCCATAGGTAGATCAATCAGTAACTGATATTACTGATAAATCTTATTTATATGTTCATCATAACAATAATGAACACAATATAAATTACACTTTAACGTCCCAAAAATTCAAATAAAAAATTCATACAACCATATATTCCAAAACTAACAATGTAACATCAAAGTAAATCAAAAGTAATCAATGCAGAAAAATCCATCAGGGGATGCTGTGCAGTCAAGCCAGATCATTCCTTTTGGAATTGTTAGTACCTGAAAATGTTTAAACTACATAATCGTAAGCATAAAGCTTAACGAGTTCCCTAAAATACCACATACCATACATATAATATGTAACATCCCAAATTAACAAGTAATTTTTTTTATGTTTAAGTAAACCAAAATAACCATTCTTTCATTCCATAAGCCCATCAAAGTATAGAGTTGTATTAAATAGTTATCAGACTACAAAACAAGTCATACAATTTGGAACGCTGGTAGTGCAATGCAATCACGTCAAGTTATTCCCTTTGGAATAGGAAGCACCTGAAACATAAACATAAATCGTAACACAAAGCTTAGTAAGTTTCCCAAAATACCACATACCATACATACATCGGGCCCTACCCGACATTCATTAGGCCCTGCCCGACATCGGGCACCACCCGGTTAACAAGCCTGCCCGTAACATGTGGTAGGCCCCACCCAACACATATAATGGATAACCAACTCTCCCCTACTTGGGGTTCGAACTCGAACTAATTGGTGCTCGCAATCAGTTATTTCCCAATTAGGGCTAAACCAATCCATCCCTATGATAACCTTGCTCTTACGCAAAAGGATAAGAACCAAATCAATCAGACACCACTCGCTAAATAACTCCAACACACAACCTCGATGAACCCTCAATACTCGCACTGGATGATCATTGGTGATCTCTACCTCTAATGGATAATCAATCTCCCCAGAAGCGTCACCAAATCTCTTGCAGAGCGCAAGAGATACAAATAATCGGGTGGCTCTCGAATAAAAAAGAACTAAACTGGAACACCATTCACTAGGAACGTCCCTATACAACAACATATATAAAATAAGCATAAACATCAAAGCAATAAATGAGATAAGGAGAAGATACATACTAGTAACCACATCTGGTGCTGTATGAGCCTCTATGACTGTCAGTTGGAAAGCTCGACTCCTCATAACTGGTACCTATGCCTTTCCCTGGCGGCTGTCAGTGATACTCAATGTCTCCATAGTGGGTGGTGCTATCACTCCCACTGTCAAACTCGGGAAATTGGCCTTCTTGTGGACCCTTTGATTGCAATGGAAGCAAATCAAACTTGATCCCTGGGTGTTGGTGGTGACGGTGCAATTCCTACTGTAGTGACCAGTCTTGCCGCACATGAAGCAACCAGAACCACCTACCCTACAAGCCCCCTCGTGCGTCTTTCCATACTTGCTACAAAAGCTTTGAACCTGTTGGCCCCTCGATTAAGAATAAAAAACCTTGGGCTTTTTTGTTGATCCCTCTAATACCTAAGCCCAAACCGACTTCCTCTTCCTCACAGTCATCACATCATCTCCCGTTCCTGAGCCCTCGCTATCATGTCCTCTAAGGTCCTACAGCTGGGCATGCTCACAAACTCTCATATCTCATCCTTTAACATCTCATGGTACATGGCCTTGTTCATCTCCTTGTCCGCCACATACTGTAGAACCAGTAAAGCCCTTTCACGGAACATGGAAATGATCTCCGCCACAGTCTCAGTAGTCTGGTAAAGGTCCTGGAACTCCCTCGCTAGCTGCAAAGCCTCGATCACTGGTGCAAACTCAAATTTGAATCTCATCACAAAATCATACCAAGTCATCGTCTCGACCACCTTTCCTCCCAAGGCATGACCTACCTCTTCCCACCAATCACAAGCTCTGTCTTTCAGAAGACATGATGCAAGTTTGACCTTTGAACCTTCGGGACAAAAGCTAGTACAAAAAGCATTCGTGATGTCTTCCGACCATTTCTTACTAAAATTTGATCATTCTTCCCGAAGAAAGCCCCACATGCACAGAACTCTCAAAAGGTGAGAGTGCGCGGTCCCACTATAGACACTATCTCAGTACGAAATGCGCCCAAAGAGCACCAAAAACATAAAAAATGGGCCAAAACCACAAATTAGGATTAGGGTTAGGGTTCTATGAGGTTTGAGGTGATGTAGGATGATAATGAACCCTAAATTTGAGTTAATGAGGTTTAAATACAAATGTAACCCTAAAAGATCATGGGCTTGGGCTGCAGCCTTCCTCACGATGTGACCATACACACTTGTCATGTCATGACATGCTTCTTGGACTTGTCATGTCGTGACCACCTTATGGTCATGCCGTGACACCCGGTTTTCCCCCAAAACCACAATTTTGATTCCTTAATACCCTAAACCGATCCATTTTGGAAACGGGTGTTACATACACCCAATAAGCATAGTACGTGTAACTTACCTTACATGATCGTCTAGCGAACAATTAGAATTTCGTGAGCGTGACTTTGAAGTTGAATTTTTTTTGTTGGGTGTTTTTCTACGTTGCAACACCTCTCTAAGATATTCCAGATCAAGCAATCGAATCAGGAGAGTAAGAGAGAAAGCCGAGAGAAAGGTGTGAACTGAGAAATGGAATTTTGAAGCTATTTATATCCTTTTTTTTGAAAAGCACCTCGTCTTATGTGGCCGACTTATATGATGCCACATCATTGGTGGTTGTAGCGGTACCGTTCCCTCTTGCTACCATGTGGCGGCTTGGCAACCAAGTTTTACCAACTAATGTATAAGTTTCTTTGGATAATCATAAATTTCGCATACGAGTTCCATTTTCGATGTTATTTATATCCATGGTTTCATAATTTCATATACATCAACTTTCATCAAGACTAATTTGGCTAAAAAGTAATCTATTTTCACTTTGATACTTATAAAGAATATACAATGAAATGATCTTATGAAATTCATAGCTTCTTCATACAATGTCATATTTTGGCGGTCTTTATACTCACGAGTTCGTATTCACGACTACAACAAATTTCATATAGATTATTTATTCATTTGTAAAAGTAACTCAAAAATTATTTATATGCAAATAATAT